GCGTCACCAAGATCTTTCATCTCAAAATTCCTAGATAAAAATCTCTTGGTTTCGTGCAACATGCCTATATCGTTAGTGGCAAGCAGTATGTCATCAACATACAAAACCAGGAAAATATGCTTACTCCCACTGAACTTGTGATACACACAATCATCAACAGCATTTGTCTCAAAACCAAATGAGATAATTACTTGATGAAATTTGTAGTACCATTGACGGGAAGCTTGTTTGAGCCCATAGATGGATTTCTTTAATTTGCAAACAATGTTCTTCGGGTCTCCTGACACAAAGTTTTCTGGTTGCACCATATAGATTGTCTCATCAATGTCGCCATTGAGAAACGCCGTCTTAACATCCATCTGATGTAACTCAAGGTCAAAGTGCGCAACAAGTGCCATAATTATCCTGAAAGAGTCTTTCGTTGAAACTGGAGAGAAAGTCTCTTTGAAGTCAATACCTTCCTTTTGGGTAAAGCCTTTAGCTACAAGACGAGCCTTATATCTTTCCACATTACCTTTCGAATCCCTCTTGGTTTTAAAAATCCATTTACAACCAATAGGCTTCGCACCTTCTGGTAACGCGACAAGATCCCAAACTTTATTGTCTTGCATAGACTTATACTCATCATTCATGGCATCAATCCACTTTTGAGAGTCAGAACCCTGCATGGCCTGACGGAAGTTGATTGGATCATCTTCCATCAATCCATTATTTTCCTCATGTTCTTGGAGAAATACTATAAAATCATCCGAAATAGCATTTTTCCTTTCTCTCGTGGATCTCCTAAAAGGTATTGATTCTTGAGGTTGTTGAATTTGTACATTAAGAATAATTACTTCATTTTGGATGGGAGGTAGAAGTTGATTGGATCATCTTCCATCAATCCATTATTTTCCTCATGTTCTTGGAGAAATACTATAAAATCATCCGAAATAGCATTTTTCCTTTCTCTCGTGGATCTCCTTAAAGGTATTGGTTCTTGAGGTTGTTGAGTTTGAACTTCTGGAATATTTACCTCATTTTGGATGGGAGGTTCTTCAACATTATCTTGTTGAGGTTCTGGATATGCTTCTTGACCAATGACAGGTATAGGGACTTGTTCATTGTCAAAAGTAATAGTATCCTCAACTTCTTCCTCAAAGATAATGTCTCTAACCTTATTTCTCCCCCCAAACTCAACATCCTCAAAAAATGTTGCAGTTCCCGTTTCAAAAATTGACTTAGTTGTGGGATCATAAAATTTATAGCCCCTTGATCGCTCAGAATAGCCAATAAAGTAGCTGCTTACTGTTTTGGAGTCCAATTTCTTTTCATATGGCCTATAAGGCCTAGCCTCAGCTGGACATCCCCAAATATGAAAATGCTTTAGACTAGGCTTTTTACCTATCCAAAGTTCATATGGAGTTTTGGCAGCAGCCTTAGTTGGCACTCTATTCAGAATATAAGCTGCAGTCTTTAATGCTTCTCCCCAGAGTGATTTTGGTAAAGTAGAATGACTAATCATACTCCTTACCATATCCTTAAGAGTCCTGTTTCGTCTTTCAGCTACACCATTCATGCTAGGCGTCCCTGGCATAGTGTATTGTGGGACGATTCCACATTCCTCTAGGTATTTAGCAAATGGTCCTGGACATTGTTCACCTGAACCGTCATTTCTGCCGTAGTACTCACCACCACGGTCAGACCTAACGCTTTTTATTCTTTTGTTGAGTTGATTCTCAACCTCTGTTTTAAACACTTTGAACATGTCCAGTGACTCAGACTTTTCATGAATAAGATATAGGTACCCATAACGTGAGTAATCGTCTATGAATGATATAAAATATTGTTGACCATTCCAAGAAGCAGTAGGAAATGGTCCAAGTCATCATATGCATCTTTAATGGTGTAAATATCACAATTATATAAGATCATGTCTCTAAACTAAGTTAAGGAAGTGAGTAGTGAACACAAAAGATTAAAGCCAAATCTTCTTCATCGACGTTACCTCTAAAGTCTCCAAATCAGAGACGATCTTCTTGAACACGACCAGATGATCTCCCAAAGATCCGCCTTCTGCCATGCGATCAGAATGCAACCTCTACTTCAGATGCAATTTGCTTATCAGACTTTTATTCATGTACAATTGCTCCAACTTCAATCACAACGTCGCTGTCGTTTTCTCCTTCAAAACATTCAGAGAAGTATTGTTAGAGAGATGAAGATAGATTTATGAAAGTGTCTTCCAATCCTTTCGTTATTTCTACTCAGTCGTCCGTTGTGGGCATTTTGTCAAATCACAACAACATATCGTCCAAATTTATCTACACGAGTATATCTCATTAAAAGTGAACAGTGTTGCTATTAGTTGTATTACGATCCAATAGCAGAATTTCATACTTCATGGCTGTCATTAATAACAAAAATCTCGAACAAATCATAATTAATAGTTCTGATACCACTTGTTGGGACGAATCGATGTAATATATATGACACGATATGAAGTGTATGATCACAAACAAACAATAAAATAAAAGGTAAATAATTAATTGGTTGAAGAATGATTATTTTATTCAATTGACTAATATGGAGAAAACAAATAAAATAATTGTGCCTACACAATTACTTTATATTTCAGTAATAAAAAACTTGTAAAAAGAGTCTAATATTTATAGGGGTGCATGCCAAATCCTAGAAATATCACAAAGATAGAAACAAGATAAAATATTACATGAAATTTAAAAAAACAATATTTTCCTAATAAAAACATGTGAAAAGAGGGAAAAATATTTTCTCAAAGTTCCAACATAATTTGTGTAAAAAAAAACCCAACAAATTTGATTTCCAATTGCCACCAACAATGTAATCTTCATTCTTTTAATAGCCAATAATTCCTTCTTTCTTTTTTTTAAAAAAAATGTCGATGAGCTGTGAAATTCTTATCCTTTTTTCTTTAAAAAGTGAAATCCTCATTCTTGCGAATCACGTGATCTTATTTGATATGCCACCAGCTGTGAAATCCTGTTGTTTTGATTTCCTAACCAACAAACTTATTTAAAAATTGTGATATTATAAGTGTGGCAAAACAAAATATATTTTTGCTTAACTGATTAAAACCCCACTAAATATGGCCAATTGCTGCATCCACAACCTACCTTCGCTCTATTGCGTCCCCCTTCACATCCCCTCTGCCCCATGCTTGAGAGTCTCTTGGGGGAGATGAGAAAGTAACACAAGGGTAGTTGCCGGATAAGAAATCTGATATACTGTTGTTTAAATAAAGGTCCAAAATATGGAAGAAAGAAGCGATTCCATCTCGTTTTAAACACATTTTCATAAAGTAACATAGATTATTTCCTGCCTTGCCCCTAGTTATCATAGACCATAGTGGAGACCAATAATTGAATTCAAGTTTGTATCTTTCATCTCTAACTTTAGTCTTTCAACTAACTTTTTTTAGTTAATTTTTCATGCGAATTGGCAGTCCATGCTTGTCTTTGGGAAAATACAGAAAAGGTAACTTTCTATCCATCACCTTGTTGTCCACTAGACAAGATAAAAAGGGCAGCTCGTGAATGATTTCAACATAAAAACACTAAGCCGTTTGCTTTTGTAATCAATGCCCAAGAATCAAACAAAAACTTTAATCACAAGACATCTGTAAATTTTCTTCTTTTTTGGCTTGTCTTCAACTGAGGAATCTCCTCCCCATTATTGTTTTTTGCACCGACTCTTTTTCATCATCCCACTATATATATATATATATCATTATTGGAATTGAAAAAATTAGGCACTATGGCTAAACCTCACATTTTCTTATACATTATCACATTCATTTCTCTCCCTTATGTTTTTACACTCGAGGGGCAATCTCCATCTAGTTTGAGGAAACCTTTGCACGCCTCTGTTACCTTATCGAGGACTTCTTGGCAAGAACGAGTAACAACTCCTCCATTGCCAATTCTTCCCTTACCAACTTTCTCTCAATTGCAATGGCAGCAAAGAGAAATCATCACGTTCCATCACTTTGGTGTCAACACCTTCACCGACTCCGAATGGGGCACCGGACAAGAAAGCCCGTCTATTTTCAACCCAACGGGACTTGATACAAACCAATGGGCCGACACGGTGGCCCAAGCTGGGGTCTCTCTTATGATACTCACAGCTAAACATCATGATGGTTTTTGCCTGTGGCCTTCTAAATACACTGATCATTCAATTATTGGAAGTCCTTGGAAAAGTGGGCATGGCGATGTAGTTCAGGAGTTTGTCAATGCTGCAAAAGCTCGTGGTATAGATGTCGGGCTTTACCTTTCACCATGGGATCGCCATGATCCAAGATATGGACACAATAAGGAGTACAATGAATACTATCTGGCTCAATTGCAAGAACTTCTCAATAGGCAAGTGCACTAACTTCCCTATCTTTTTCTTCTTCTTTATATTAGAGCAGGTTAAATTTAGAAGCACTTGTAGTTATGTTGAATTAAGCTCTTAGATGAGGTACGTTATGGTATCAAAGAAACTGATATTTGAAACCATTTATAAGGATGAAATTTTTTTGGTTGTAGATATGGGAGTGTTAGAGAGATATGGTTTGATGGAGCAAAGGGCGCAAACACACCAAACATGACTTACTATTTTAGTGACTGGTTCTCAATGGTGACGGAATTGCAGAGCACAATCAACATATTTTCCGATGCCGGTCCCGGCGTTAGGTGGGTCGGAAATGAGAAGGGATTTGCCGGGAGCACATGTTGGTCTACCATTAATCGAACATCTCTATCCATTGGTAATGGTAGCATTGTTGAGTAAGTAATATCAGACCTTGCTTCGTGTCTTCGAGCTTAAATTTTCCAAGTTGTCTCATTATTCCCATTATATGTATAGTAATTTAGACCAAGAAATCAAGAAATTATCATAGAACACCGATGAATAGATTTATTTGGTACGTTGAACTTGGACTCGACATGATTTTCAACTATTCATGTTACCGAATTTATGGTTGTCATGTTCAGTTCTCTCCAATGTAGGTTACCAATCATATTTAATAGTCAATTAAGTTATATGAGAGAATGTACGAAAAACCTATGCACACTATGTTGGACGAAATTGCTATTTCAAACACTATGTCTGGTACATTAGGTATAAAGTCGGTGTAGGCTTTTTTGGTACATTTCTTGTGAACACGATATCGTTTTCAATAATGCTGCAGTTATCTCAACACTGGTGATCCGAAAGGAACAGATTGGCTGCCAGCAGAGTGTGATGTTTCAATTAGAAAAGGGTGGTTTTGGCATAAGTCTCAAGTACCAAAAAGGTTAAGTGAATTGTTAGAGATTTACTACAATTCTGTGGGACGAAACTGCGTGTTACTACTTAATGTGCCACCAAATACCACGGGGCTAATATCCGAGAATGATGTCCAAAGATTGAAAGAATTTAGAGGTGCAATTGATACGATATTTTCGACAAACTTGGCAGAAAAATGTTCTATCAGAGCAAGTAGCCAGCGCGGAGGTGAAAGCGGCGATTTTGGACCAGACAACGTACTAGACAAGGACCATTTATGGACATACTGGACCCCAACAGACGAAGACAAAAAGGACCAATGGATTGAATTTAAGGCAAAAACTGGAAAAATAAAATTCAATGTGATTCGAATTCAAGAAGCGATTGGACTGGGACAACGGATAAAAAAACACAAAATATACGTGGATGGCAATCGGGTTGCTGAAGGAACCACAGTAGGGTACAAGAAGCTTCATAGGCTGGAGAAAGGAGTTGTGGATGCATTTAGTGTGAGAATAAAAATAGTGGGATCAAGAGGAACTCCACTAATTTCTTCTGTAGGTTTGCATTTTGATCCTTTTTGGCACCCAAAAGGGAAGAAGACTTCACAAATGGTCCACTAGATAGCACTATCTAGGCGTGATGGTTTGTTCCCCATTTTCTTCCCATTTAGGCCTATTATTTTCTTGCACTTCAAAAGTCATAAAGCAGTTGTACCAAAAGCTATCAAGATAATACAGAGAATTGAGGTTCCTATATAGCTCTTTACTATTATTTGCTACTTTATATGCATCTAGAATCAACAATTGCAATGAAAAAACGTTTAAAATGCAAATTCACGTATATGCTAAAACGAACAAAATAATTTACGTCAAAAACTTCAAAAAAGGAGAAGAATCATGAACCGTAAATAGCAAAGATTTATTCACTATGCATGTTTGGGGAATATTATAATTTCACTATAATTTGAAGTCTCATTACTTATCTTCGTTATAACTTATTATAACTTCTCCAAAACTAGCACTATGTACAATTTCAAGGTTTCTCTCTTACTCCAAACCTTAAGTACACCAATAAAATATATACTGAGGATCATGTCATCATGCCAAAGAGCACAAATTGCCAAAACAAAAATCTCCCATAATGTATACTAGGTGGGCAGGGCGGACATAGAAGTTTAAAATTAGAGGGCACAATCGAACTTACAAAGAAATTGGGAGAAATTTTACAATCGAAAATTTACGCCCAAAAAAATCATATCCCATGCAATCTTGCATCCGAAAATTTAAATGGGANCACATTTAACTCACATTTAACTATTTTCGATATATGTTTGGATTATTTGGCATGCCTATAATGTAGTTCTCGAAATAAATTTTGAGATGATATAAGCAATTTGTAGATTCGATTAGCGTACGATCGTAAAAAAATTTTTAAAGTTAGCATGTTTTCGAAATTTTCAAAATACTAATTTTGAATGGTTTACTTTGACAAGTCGTAACATTTACTACAAGTGATCGTTTTGTACGTCATTAATAACGTAGAAAATTAGATCATGAACACTTCGAAATTGTATTAAGAATGCAATATTTCGCCTTTATTTGATGGAAAGTTAAGATTTTATTAAAAGACGAGATAAAAAAAGAAAAATTAAAATTTATTGTGATTTTGTCCCTGTTTGATGAAGATTAAAATCTAATTTTTAGTAAATTTTGATAAAAGTTAAATAGTTATGGATTCCATGAAATATGTTATTAAAATTAATTGTTAACTTTGATTTAGATTAAATCCCCCGGTCCAGATGGTTACTCATCATGTTTTTTCAAAGAAGCATGGGGGATAGTTGGAGTGGATTTTATTGAAGCTATAAAAGAATTTTTTGCATCGGGTTCTCTTCTCAAACAAGTGAATCATATGGCAATTGTTTTGGTTCCTAAATCTAGCCACACTACGATTGTTGGAGATTATAGGCCTATTTCTTGTTTCAATGTATTCTATAAGGTTATTGCAAAGATTCTATCATCTCGGTTAAGGCCTATTTTGGGAAGCCTTGTTGACCAAACTCAATTCGCATTTGTTATGATGGAAAATATCCACCTTGCTCAAGAGCTCATGAGACAATATAATCGGGAGCGGCTTGTCCCAAGATGTCTACTTAAGGTTGATATTCGTAAGGCGTATGATTCGGTGGATTGGGGATTTTTGAAGCAAATGCTCGAGGGGTTATGCTTCCCTCCCAAATTCGTCGGTTGGGTTATGGAATGTGTTACCACTCCTACTTACTCCGTTGCTTTGAATGGTAACATACATGGTTTTTTCAAAGGGAGGAAAGGCTTAAGGCAAGGTGATCCACTTTCATCATTCTTGTTTGTTTTATGTATTGAACATCTTTCAAGAATGCTAAAGGTTGCTACTAATGAGAGTGACTTCAACTACCATCCCAAATGTGGCCCGTTAAAGATTACACGCCTTGCGTTTGTGGATGATTTAATGCTTTTTGCAGGGGAAGATGTCATGTCGGTGGAAAGCTTGATGAATTGTCTGAACAACTTTGGGAATGCATCGGGATTAAATATGAATAACCTTAAATCCAGCCTCTTTACAGCTGGTATACATGGGATTGAACTTGTTGAAATCCAAGAAATTACCAACATTCCGAAGGGTACAATGGCCTTTCGATATTTGGGCATTCCACTTGCTTCCGTGAAGTTAAAAGTAAGTTGTTATGCTCCTTTTTTTGGATAAAATCACTGGTTATATTGGTTCTTGGACGTGTTCTTCTTTGTCCTATGCGGGGAGAGCGGAATTGATTAAAGCGGTGCTTCAAAGAGTCAAATGTTTTTGGCTTTCTTTATTCCCCATTCCAGCTACAATCATTTCTAGAATCACTAGCCTTTGCCGTAACTTCCTTTGGGGCTCTAAGAAGCCTTTGGTTGCTTCGAGGGATGTTTGCTTACCGAAGGGAGAAGGTGGTTTGGGCTGTAGAGATTTAAAAAACTGGAATTCTGCTCTACTTGCAAAATTGATGTGGAATACTCACCATAAAAAAGGATACTTTGTGGATTTGTTGGGTTGATCAATTTTACTTTAGAGGAGCTAGCATTTTGAGGTCTCACCTTTAAAAGATCACTCACTACTCTTCAAAAAATTGCTGGAAATTAGAGATACACTTGGGCAGATTTTTTAACATGAAAGGGGCGACCAATCCCTTTAAATTCACAGCAACAGATTTTTAGCGGGATTTCTTTGCTAAATGGGGGATAAATTTTGTGTAAATAAGGCATATGATTTTTTTCGGCCTAAGGGGGATGCTAAGTGTTGGGCAAAGGATGTTTGGAAATATTTCATCACTCTGAAACACTCTTTTATGTTATGGTTGGGAGCCCAATCAAAATTACTCACCAAAGACAAATTGCATTACTTGGATATTGATCGAAATTGTGTTCTTTGTTCTTCACATGAAGAAACATGTCATCACCTATTTTTTGAATGTCACTTCTCTTCAAGTGTTTGGAAGAGCATTAAAGAGTGGTTGGGCATTACAAGAGCCCTGACTACCATGGCTAGTGCACTAACGTGGATAAAGAAGGAAGCTAGAGAAGCCTCATGGAGAAACAAAGCTAAAAAGATTGCTATAGCTAGCTCCGTCTACTATATTTGGATGGCTAGAAATAGAATGGTTTTTGAAAATTTGAAACCCCATATTGAGAGTATTGTACGACGAATCAAAACACACACATACAAGGTGATGTTTTCTCTGTATCCTAATGTTTTGATTTGTTACGAGTCTTTAGCGATGGGTTGACTTTTTTCTCCTTTATATCCTTTGTTTTGATTGATTACTTGGGTATGCCCATAATAGTTGTATTTCCATTGTAACTTCATTGTTGATTAACCCGGGTATGCCCGGAGTATTTGTATATGGTTTTTTATTAATATAATCCATTTTACCATCTCAAAAAAAAAAAAAAAAAAGAAGAAAAAACGAATATGGCTCTCGTATTTATACTTGCACTTTAGCACCACTATTTGACGTTTGGTAACACTTTTCAAAGAGAAGAATTATCAAAGTTTGTTAAGTTAAGGATCTTAACTATTATCGTTTTGCAAAGTCTATCGCAGATCAACCTTCTTATACACATGAAGCTGTCATTAGGATTTTGTATTATCATCAAAAAGAGAGTGAGGTTAGTGTAACCTTACACTAACCTCACTCTCTTTTTGATGATAATACAAAATCCTAATTACAAGATAAAAATCTCACACCCTATTTTATATAACCTAATACAAAATCTGCACCCTGAAAGATGACGTAGTCTCTTATTGAGGCAAACCTCTATAAATCTTGTATTTTATTGTGTCTATTTTCTTTATTACTACTTTAATAAGTTGTTTGATATCCATATTAGCTTCATGAAGGGGATACAAGTAAGAAGAGACAAGATGAGGATGGCAACATGACCTTTGTATCCTAAGATTCATAAAAATTGGTAAAATGTTTTTGAGAGTACTGAAGGCTGTGAAGTCGATTGGTCAGGAGGGCCACAGTACTATGTGAAAAGCGAGGATGTAGAGTTTGATATCGATTTTCCAGCTTGCACATGTGTTTGTAGAAGATGGGACCTGGCTGACATCCCATGTGGGCATTGCATTTGCTGTCATATTGGACCGTTGAGACGAACCATGAAAGTATGTGCATTCCTGCTCCTTGGTAAAGACAAATTTGAATTGACATGTAAATATTGGGATGTCAATCAATGGGAAGAAGCTCTGGCCTGAAGCTGATGCACTGCCTGTCCAACCATCTGGTTGGTATGTGCCTAAAAGGGGTATGATGCAGAAGGAAAGGAGGAGGCAGCAAGAGAAAGATGTCTTTGTACATACACTGCATGTCAAAAATGAAGAAGAAAGGGACAGACTATTTGACTTGCAGTGTATGTGGTCTGACAGGGCATAAAAGAAGATATCATTATAGGGCATCTGCACCAGATATCATTCTTCGCATCTTCGACTCCACCTTACTGTTAATTTTCGTGCAGCAATCCACTGATTATTTTCGTATATCGTGGATGAGGAGGTGGATCAACCCAAGCAAAATAATCACGCGCATCTGGTATGTTATAGAAGTTGTATCTAAGAAACCTTCTGTCCGGGTTGTTTTTAGTCCACGAAGTCCTTGTAACAGAGATTTGTTCCCACAAAAGGATAAACTCGTTAAAAATATGGGGTGTTTTCTATCAAGGGATGAAAACGAACTATTAACAAGTGGTGGATGGAAAAGATTTTGACAACACAATTTTTTCAGGTTCTTAAAGTTACAAACCCATGTATAATGTTTTACAAGATAGAGCAGCAAATGAAATCTTTATAAATTCCCGTGAAATTATTCATGATCTCCAGAAATTTATTTCTTTACCAAATATTACAGGACATAAAACCTCATGTCTAGTAAATGAGAAAACGCGTAAATTTAACTTATCTTGCGACAAAATGAAAGTACAAACAAAACAACATTAATGATATATAGATGAAGAATGTAAGATGAACCACGTGTGAGTCAACTTCTTGAGTCATTTCATCGATCAGTAAACTAGGTGCAAATTATTCCCTTGATCATTAGGATAATCTTGATTTCATTTAACATTGGCATAGTTATTATTAATTATACATTGACTGATATCTCCATTAGAAAAGGGAGCTGCATTCTGTCCATTTTACATTTCATCTTAATCAGTAGAATACGGTACATACACAAATAGGAGATGCAGAAGTCTCAACCGAATTTCAGCGTCTGAATCTGTGTGCAGCGCGAAGATGGAGGCCCCCGTCGATCTGCAGTGTTAGCATAGTTCTGTAATTCACAGCTTTCTTTTCATCATTCAACTTAAACGAGAAGACACTAAGCAGCACAGCAGCAAATACTTTCATCTGCCTGTAAGCAAACTCTTTTCCAAGACAAATTCTTGGGCCTGCCTGCATACATACATTAGTTTTAAGTTCCCAATCTTTAAGTTTAATAATTTAGAATGCAATTGTATTCATGCTTTCTTGAAAAGGATAAATTTGGAAAAAAATGGAACGGAAGAGAAAAAGGATTCCGGCCTTCATATGAGAGTTGAGTTAAAGAAAATTTCAAACAAATGAATGTGTTCCCCAAAGGAGGAGTATATAAGAAACTTACTTGAAAGGCTGTGAATTTAAAAGAGCTTTCTTGCTGGAAGACACCATTTTCATCTAACCATCTCTGGGGCCGGAACTCCTCTGCATCCTCGCCCCATAAAGATTTCATCCTTCCCATTGACCACGGTTGGTACGAAATCAAGTTTCCTTTCTTCACGCTGAATCCATCTGGGAAAGTATCATCTGAAAAACACATCTTCCCATCCTGGTACATCAAAATATAATTGAATAAAACAAGCATAAAAATTGTTGGGTTTTGATACCCAATGAATCCGAACTACAATGTAAACGTTGGATTGAATTTCATAGGCGTTGACCAATGAATTAAATTGTTACCAACAATCAAATCCAAAGGCTCGATCCGAAAACAATGTGGGCCTTTGAAAGTAGCTTAAAGAATTAATCTTGCTCACGACCCAAATATATTACCTCTTGGATGACTTTGAATCTTGGCCTATTTAACCCTTTTATTGGTACAACTAAAGCCTAACCTATCCTATATATATGTTATCTTTGCCCTAGCCGTAGTATGTGTGATTTGTGTATGAAAAAAGAAGAAAAATGTGGCCTTTGAGAGAGAGAAATCAGCTGCTTGCTGGAGAAGAAAAACCGATGCCTTCTGTGTTTTTTGGTCTCTTCTCTTGCCTTTCGTTGTTTTTCTTCTTGCCTTTGTGGCTACAAATCATCACCATTATCTTGTCCTTTGTTGGTGAGATTGAGCCATTTGGATTGGTTGTCTGATAGAGAAAGGTAACGTGAAACTGAGCCCGGAAAACACTGTTTTGAAGATCCTTGGAATGAACTTCCGCGACAAAAATGAAAGCCAATGTTGTGCACAAGCGTTAAATTTGTAAATGGAAGCAAACTTGGCATTTATACGTGTCAAACTGGATATAAATTGTTTCTTACCACCGGGACTGCAGGATAAAGTCTGAGAGTTTCTGTTATGGATGCATGGAGAAACTGCATTTTGTCCAATGCTTCTTCAGTAATACTGTTTGCCATTTCATCGATGCTCGGATTCTCTTGAAGTTTTGTTGCTTCCCTCACTTCTTTTGCAATCCTTTCTTGTATCAGTGGGTGTTTGCACATCATGTAAAAGAACCAGGATAGAGTGCTTGCTGTTGTATCCTTCCCAGCAATTATAAAACTTAGTATTATGTCTTTAAGGTACTTCGGATCTGTTTCATTCATTTCCAGAAATCTAGACAAAATATCTCCTTTACTCACCTGTTTTTAGACACGTCCAAAAATCCGTCAGGGGATTAAACTATAACTTGAATTATGAGAGAAATCATAAGCAAAAAAGCCATCAGAAACATGCAAAGCGCACACATATTTAGGGGTCCACCCTCAGTGCGTGAGCTACATCTATGATAAAAAGATGTATACAAAAGATGTCATGTTTCTCTTGCACAGAGAAATGACCTCCCTTAAAATCTCTTATATATGATTGGAATTTTATCTTGATTCGCAGTTGAAGGCACAAGGTACATGACGATTAGGCTCCACACAGTCCAAGAAAATCTGTTATTTTTATTATACTAAAAGAAAATTTTGATGATTATTTAGTTAAACTCACTGGAAGGTCGTCGTTGGGCTTGCGCACTTGTTCGATCTTGTTTTGAATGACTTCGTAAACGAATCCATCAACTATCTTCATACAGTTTTTCAATTTAGCCTCTGATCCAATGTTAAAGTACTGTTTGATTGGCCAGGATATATCAACATAACGGTAGCAGGTCATTTCACTTGCTTCGTCAAAAGCCTTGGAAAATTGAGTCCCTTCCTCGTTTGTTCCACGCATACTGTCTAGATCAACGCCAAGTACAACCTTGAACACTGAGTCCAAAGTCGATTTCATGAATAAATCCTGTGATTTAGAGAACTCATTAGTATATTATCTGATGAAAGGATCCTGATATAGTTTTATCCTGGTACATGGAGCTTTACTTGAATTTCTATGATCTGATTTGAGGCTATAGCGTCAGAAACTATCCCAGCGAGTTTTGCTGCATTGGTTTTGAAGACACCACTGCTAAAATCCCTCAGGTTTCGGGTTGAGAATTCGTAACTTGACATCTTCCTCTGGTGTTTCCATCTTTCTCCATCAACTGTGAAGATCCCATCACCTAGGAGATCTTTCAAGATGTTATGGTGGTACCAGCCCTGCACAAGTTGATTTTCTGTAACTTAGAAGTCGAGAAAGCTTAACATTCAACCTCAGGATTCTGTTCATATGACACGATCCTCATTAGAGATTAAGCCCTAATCCCGACTTACCAGAGCGATAACAGTAATAAAATAATGAAAAAGAAACAAAGAGGACACATGGCAATGTGACAGCTATGGCCTGTCACACACACAGACAACAAAAATTGCCTCCTTACTTCACATATTAGGAACTTTAGACAAACGAAAATCAACGCATGGAATACCTAATATATCCCTTAAAAAGTCACGGTCAAGCGTATAAGTGTGCAGTATTGTTAGGCTCCACACAGTTCAACAATCTGATTATTTTGATACAATACCACTACTAGAACTTGTATCTTATTACATAAACAGGCAACTTTGTGGTCTCATGAAATTTCGGTTTGCTTGTTTGCATACACAAGCTAGAGCCAAGTATATCAAATTCAATCCTTATTTTGTTTGGACAACCTAAGCATGGGTCTGGATTTGTATTTGTTGCTGAATCACATGAAGAACGTATTTATCTGAAGATTTAGAATACCTAAACTTTATGTGATAATAAAACACCATATACAGTTTAGCATAGATGGTTTAAACTCAATTCTGCCAGATTCTCGACAATTAATTCACACCAGCTTAAGCTCGAGTACAAGTTGTGGTAACCAACTCATTTATTGATCCTCTCAAGCTTGAAGACTGAAAGAAATAGTCAAACAGATAAGATCAAAAACTTACCTATTATCCTGGTGAGCATAATCAAGATGGAAATAAGCATAAAGAGTTTGAATTCTGCGAATTAAATCGTCATTTTCATCTTCAAGCGACGTGCAATATTACACTTTAACAGTATCAATAGACAGAGTGAGAAAGTTAGTACCTTGCCATAGTTTGCAAAATTTGTTTTGAGTACATATTCAACAATTGCAGGGTCTGCAGTGTAGACTTCACTGTTGTCAAGGTAAAGCAATCTGAAAGTGATGTTTTTTTGTGTCAATTCAGTCATGTAATCGTACAACCTTCGGAAATTAAGCAGCTGATGCAACACTGTTCCAGCAATTGGATAATATTTTTTCTTCTCCTTCTTTGATGATCCTAAGATTTTCTTGACTGCACATAGTGCTACAATTGCAGCAAAAATTAAGACCAACAAGGGGTTATTCAGAGTCACCATGTCCATGGCAGTCCTCTTTGTGTGTATAATGCTGATAGTTTCATAGATATATATACTGTCCAGTAATTGGAGGGGAAAACCAGATGAATTTGTGAAAGAGAGAGAGAGTGCTTTTTTTCGTAGTTTTCTTGAAATATTTGTTTCTTAATTGTGAATTGTTGACTCTGAAGGTCCACTAGGTGATAAAATGATTTTTTTATTCTTATTTTTTTGTTCCTTCAATTTTTTCTCCAACTTGTGGAGAGAAAATTGCAACTTTGGTCCTTAACATGTAATCGTTTTAGCAAGTTAGTGCCCAATTTTTCTCTTGAAGTTTTTGATGTCATTCCACGAGTAATCTTAACGAACGAGAAACTGTTCAAGTATTCATTATAAATTTCGTGTGCATTGCATATGTAGCAATGTTTGAAGGTTATAGTAAAATCAAATAATTTTGATTAAAGATAACGATGTAGAAAATAGAAAGAAACGAAAAAAATTGAAGGAAAAATTATGCATATTGTCCTTCGCCGATCCCAACTCTTGAACAAGTGTTCCCCCAACCCTTATTCACGACCACTCCCACATTCCACCCCACACCACACCATCACGATCCATTTCAACGTGCTTCCATCCGCAACCCACCAAGCAGCCGTTCCCACTTTCCTTCTTTTCATTTATTTTATACTTTTTAAATTCAACAAAAAATTTAAATGAGACGCGTTTCCACGTTCTCATAATACTTTAATCAAAATTTGGATCGTTTTCATTGTGTTGTGATGAACTAATTGTGCATATAATCAAAGCTGTTAAGGATGACTTGCACTTTTTTAAAGTTCAAGAACCAACTTACTACTTGAAAAATTAGTTTGAGACCATTAATGCAATTTTCCCATTATAAAAAGATCATGCTTGGCTAAGCTTAAAATATTTACTAAAATAATTTCCAAAATAAATAAGTTTTTGCTTAAAAGTACAGGAAAAATAACTTATCTTCACATGTTTACAAATATATTTCTAAACTTAGCTAAAAACACGGTCAATTTATGTAGTTTTTTCTTTATTCTAAGTTGGCTCAAAAAATGAGTCCACTACTAGATAAGATGAATTTCCTTGTTCCTTCAATCTTCTAGAATACGACAGCAGTTGTCGGAAAGTAAACGAAGGGTTTGTGCGCTAAAGAAAGACTTGGGTCAATAAAATGCAACTGATGTGCCATGATGATGAAGATAGTTGGAAAAAATAGGAAAATGACGAAGACTTGAAGTACCACTATGAATAAATTATTTTCCCTGCAAACGTAATTTCAAATACCTAAACCCCACGCCTAAGTTCTGAAAAACAATCAACTGGGTATTTTCCATAATTGTTCTATTTTCCTGACTTTTTCCAATTTATCTATGTGCAGGAAGAAAATTTGTGGTGCTTAGAGATACGTTACAAAAGAAAAAATTGTTAATTTTATACAACATGGCCATTCAGAAGGTTAATATAAAGGTTTAATTCCGACTTGATACAATTAATTACCGTTTGATAGGCATTATCGATGGCAAGAATGCATTTTTCTGTCAAATCAAGTGGGCTCCACCGCTAGCTACTTTGTTCCCTGGCTAATCATTTTCTCCGCTGAATTACTATAATGCCCTTTTGTGAAATTTGGGAATTTGTTGGAGAATACTACGATATACTAACGAGAAACAAAAGTCTTTATAATTGAAAATCATATAAACAGTTGAAAGAAGTATGCTTTCGAGTCATTAAGCCCCCGTCTGCTTTAGCTACAAAAATTGATAAAGATTTAAGTTAAATTCAACAATTAATTTTAACTACACATTTTACGGGACTCTCGTAATTTTTATCAACTTTCCAACCAAACATATTTATCAAAATCTACCAAAAATCTGATTTACAACAAAATAGCAAAAACAATATCGCCCTATGTCCACTAGAAATAAGACCTTCTCTCCCTCTTTTTTTTTTTTACTTTCCAGGTCCTCTCTCTCTTGAAGTCAAACTGGAATACATTATTTCCTCCTATTAGTTAAGCTTGCATATCTATTTTATAATATTTTATAAATTTTTTGATCTTGATTAATAGAAATGTTCATTAAAAAAAAATGATTTAGGACATGGAGATAAGAGCATTTGAGAGTCCTGCTTATCTAAAAATTTCTGAAAATCATATTAAGCAAAATAAGTTTGATTTACTTTTAGACAACCAAACATGATCTTGGCAATACTAGAAAATTGGGTGAGTGGTTATTAATTTGTTATGTGCCAGTGCCAAGTAGCTTCATTGCCATTTGATTTATTAATATAATTTCAAAGAAACGACTCGAGCTTTTAAATGAAAGAACAATCAGGAACTGTTTATATACGAGGCTAGTTGATAATTCTTTCACAAAAATGTATCTAAATAATTCCTGTAAGCTTCGTTTTAAGAAGCATGTTGGGATTGAAGAACAATTGCTGACCTCAAAGGCGCAGTGAATTTGATAGGTGTTTTAGCCTGGAAAACACCATATTCGAGCCATATTTCGACTCAGAATTCTATCCCCAAATGCACTTCGTCATTCCCATTGCGTAGCACATATAGTTCACAACATCTCTTTTCCATATTCTGTAACCATCCTGTAAAATGCTCTGTGTTTGAACTCTTGCAGTCCTGCAGAGTATCATATGTTAGACAGATTAACCATGAACAAGGAAACTTCCATTTCTGGAAGTTGCAGAGAAGCTTAGATTGTGCAATTGGATCCTCAAAAGTGCACATGGCCTGATGGTTCAAATGTTTCAGATGGTCATATGTCACATGTCAAATGGGAAATTTACCTCACAGCCAAACAAGTATCTTCATGTCACCAAAAAAATTGTTTTTCCTCTTATGTGATGAAAATATTCATATTATCTTGTTTCTTTATCTCATGACTTAATACCGTCAATACATTCTTTATTGCTTCCATAATCGAGACTTCAGGTGATCCTTTCACGGAGAATTCATTGACAACACCATCAACTTCAATCAGGCTGCATCCTGGAACCGACTTCCTTATCTCTTTGTCTTTCATCAAAGCTCTTATTCTCTTTAGGTCGTCAAATCTACCAGCTTTGGCATATAAATCGCACAAATTGATATAAAAAGCATGGTTTTGAGGTTCCAAACGAATCAAGGTTTCAGCAATCTTTTCTCCTAACTCGACATTTCCATGCAATTGACATCCTCCAAATAGTGCACCCCAAACAAAAACATCTGGCTCCATGGGCATACCTCTGATAAGGTCTTCAGCCTCAACAAACTGCCCAGCTCTGGCAAGTATATCAACCATACAAGCATAATGTTGCACCTGCGGCTCAATACCGTAAACACGCCTCATCGTGTCAAAACACCTGCGACCTTTCTCCACCAGGCCTGCGTGAGCACAGGCAGACAATAACCCAACAAATGTCACAGAATTAGGCCGTACACCAACTGCTTCCATATTTGCAAAAAGCTTAAAAGCTTCCTCCCCGTGCCCATGAAGTGCAAATGCTGAAATCATAGCTGTCCATGCCAAAACATCCTTCTTTGGCATCCCATTGAAAACCTCAAACGCTCTTTCAACACACCCACACTTCCCATACATGTCCACCAAAGCTGTCCCAATCACCATATCACATTCCATCCGACTTCTCTTCAAGTAACTATGCAACCACCTCCCGTGATCACCGGCACCAAGAGAAGCACATGCAGAAAGTACACTAGCCACCGTAATTTTATCTGGCCTAACCATATCCCTATCATTACTGAAAATCTGCATGTCTTGGAAAAATCCTAAAGCCTCCTTCGGCCTGCCCCCTTGAACAAAGCCCATGATCATTGAATTCCAAGTAATAATGTCTTTCCTGTCCTTCATTTCCTTAAACAAATCTAATGCCACATCAAGCTCTCCACCTCTCAAATATCCCACGATCATCGAATTCCAAGAAACAACATCCCTATTTGACATTTCATCAAACACCCTCCTCGCATCCTCCAAAAACCTACACTCCGAGTACACACTTATCAAAGCATTTTGCACATAAACATCGCCATCATACCCAAACTTCACTGCATGTGCATGGATGCTCCGACCCATTAAGTCATCAACCCGTTTGGCACATTCCTTTAATACAAAAGGGATCGTAATACTATCAGGAGACAGATTAATACACAAAATCTCTTTATATAAAATTAAGGACTCGCGCGAAAAGGGGTCCTTAATTTTCGTTGAACTTGCTCTAATCATAGCATTGTATGCAAAAAGACTTGGCTCGGCAATGCGTCTGAACACTTTGTCCGCATACTTGAGACCCTCTGGTGATTCATTAACTGCACAGAGGAAGAAGAGGAGACGAGAGATGAGAAAATGATGATCATTTGGTGATAAATTTGGGGATGTAATGATGTGGGAATGGATTTGTTTAAGCTCCCTGACGTTTTTGCAATTGTGTATAGAGCGTGCAAGTACGTCCTTGAGATTTAGCCGCATGTATTCGATCATTCTTCGTTTAATTTGGTTTATTGGCGGGAGTTCTTTATAGATAATGGACAGTACAATGGGCCAACTCGTCTGGTGTTTACGTTAGGAAAGTGTTTTGTTGATCAACTTATTAGCCTTGTTTGAAGCTATTTTGTTTTTTCGCACTTATATTTTAAACCGTACGCATCAAAAGGTGCATATATGGTTCCTAAGGGATAAAATTTTACCCTATCAATTGTCTTTATCGAGAAAGATTACTTTTTTTATCAAGAAGTTGATAGCAAGATCTCGAATCAACTTATCGATATTATGATATATTTCAGTATCGAGGATGATATCAAATATTTGTTTTTGTTTATAAACTCTTCTGGCGGATGGATAATATTTGGAGTAACTATTTACGATACTGTGCAATTTGAGCGTTAAAATTTCATATTCCTTTTAATTAATTAATTTTACACTTGTAAACATAATTTTTCCCTGCCTTTAATCACATATTCTCTTAAAACAAAATTACAAATTACAAAA